CTGATTACTGCAGATTTGGTTGTTGCCTACCTTGTCCCCAACCTTATTACCTGTATCCGAGTGGTTATATGGAGAAAGGCTTCGAGGCCACTCAGGTTGTAAGAGCGTTATCTGCTTTCGCGGCATTAGCTGTGATGTTGTCGTTCCTTGTGTTACCCGGAAGGAGATCTCATCCGAGTAGTCTGATTCTATTTGCAAGTATTTCAATTTTCCTTTACTCGGCCACCGTCTTCTTCTCCATTGGCAATCCGAAAAAGATTCAGTGCGTGAATGATGTGACTCCTAGCACCCAGGATAACAATGGCCTCTGTGCTGTTCAAGGTAAAACGAGCTGCTTTTATGTTTTTACGATAAAGTGTTAAACACACGTCTCCTGAATGAATGAACCATCCTTTTTTCGCATCACAGGGGCCCTTCTAATATTCACATCACACGCAACGGCTTTCTGGACAGCAATCATCATTCTAAATCTTCATATGCACACCGTATGGAATTCAAATTTCATGGCAAATAAATATCTCTGGTTACACCTCTTTGGATGGGGCATACCCACAATACTTACCGTGGCTGCATTGGTGGAAAATTCGGTGGCGTATCAATTCGCGGGACTTTGTTTGATTAAACAGGAGGCTGCGAACGCAATCTTCTTTTACCCACTGGCGGTTATTGTGGTTCCCAGTTGTATCATGCATTCCGCTACGTTTTTCCATATTGCCAAGGTAGAGAGTTAAGATCCATTGTTTTGTTCGGCTTTGAGTACTTGTCATTCGAAAATATCGTGAAATTTTATAGGCTTCAAGGTCCGACTCTGGTGAATCCTCTGGTCTTTCGGAGTTCACCACAACCCGAAAAATCAAAGTTCTGCAAGCTGTGAAAATTCAATGGCGTGCATTATTACTTGCCGTTGTCTTGGTGGTCACTGTGTTTACCTACTGGATATTCTACTTTATCGAATTACGTAACATCACCGACGGTCCCAAGAATCGTGATTTCCTTACAAATTGGCTGAATTGTGTTCAATCAAATGGTGGGCAGAATGGGTGTTCGAAAATTGCTCGAGGATATATGCCGCCCTATCCGCTTATAATGATCACGGAGTTTTTGGCGAGTCTTATTGGGATTTGGTTGTTGGCCATATTTTCGAATTCGGTGTTGTGGAAAGGGTGGGGACAGTGGTTTGGCGAGAAGCTTAAG